AATGTGGGGTTCCCAGAGGGTTTTCTGGGAATGTGGGGTTCCCAGAGTGTTTTCCTGGGAATGTGGGGTTCCCAGAGAGTTTCCCCGGGAATGTGGGGTTCCCAGAGGGTTTTCTGGGAATGTGGGGTTCCCAGAGAGTTTTCCCAGGAATGTGGGTTCCCAGAGGGTTTTCCCGGGAATGTGGGGTTCCCAGAGGATGTTTCTGGGAATGTGGAGTTCCCAGAAGGATTTCCTGGAAATGTGGAGTTCCCAGAGGGTTTTCCTGGGAATGTGGGGAAGGTGGGGTTCCCAGAGAGTTTTCCTGGGAATGTGGGGTTCCCAGAGGGCTTTCCTGGAATATTCCCAGAGGGATTTCCTGGGAATGTGCGGTTCCCAGAGAGTTTTCCTGGGAATGTGGGGTTCCCAGAGAGTTTTCCCAGGAATGTGGGGTTCCCAGAGGGCTTTCCCGGGAATGTGGGGTTCCCAGAGGGCTTTCCCGGGAATGTGGGGTTCCCAGAGGGTTTTCCTGGAATGTTCCCAGATCTCACCTTGAGGATCTCGTACATGTAGAAGCGGATGTCGAAGTCGGAGAGGGTCTGGTAGAGTTGCTGGGAAAGGGAGGCGGGAAAGGGGCTCATTCCCACTCTGGAATGTGGAGTTCCCTGCCCCGCATCCCGAATTTCCCAACCCCGGGAACATCCAACCCCTGGAGCTTCCAGAGGGAGCGGGGGGGGGGGGGATCTGAGACCCTCCCAGGATCCAGGACCTGGAGGGGTCCAACATTCCCATCCCGGGGAGCGGGAATGGGAATGGGAGAGCAGAGCCCAGCCCCGGGAATTAGGGAATTAGGGACAGGGACCAGGGGAACACAGCCCAGCCCCGGGAATTAGGGAATTAGGGACAGGAACCACAGGAAAAGTGGGACACCAGGGACAGCCAGGGCTCTGTCCTCCCCAAATCCCGGGATTTGGCCCCAGGGCGGGCCCGGGGATGCAATTCCCACATGGAAAAGCCCGGGAGCGGGAGGGGGGGTTTGAGACCCTCCCAGGATCCAGGACCTGGAGGGGCCCAACATTCCCATCCCAGGGAGCGGGAATGGGAATGGGAGAGCCCAG